CAGTGGTGGCGCACGCCTTTAATCCCAGCACTTGGGAGGCAGAGGCAGGTAGATTTCTGAGTTCAAGGCCAGCCTGGTCTACAGAGTGAGTTCCAGGACAGCTAGGGCTATACAGAGAAACCGTGTCTCGAAAAACCAAAAAAAAAAAAAGTTACCTGATTTCTTTGACATGTGAACACACACACTCCAAGAGAAAATGAATAAAGTTAAGAACTCTAGTGGGGGTGGGGATGAAAGTGGGGGATGGGGGTGAAAGATGGGAGATGGAAGTTGGGGGATGGGGAAGTGGGGAGTGTGGCACACACCTTTAATCTCAGCACTTGGGAGGGAGAGGTCAGCCTGGTCTACAGAGCTAGTTCCAGCACAGCCAGGTCTACACACACACACACACACACACACACACACACACACACACGCACACAAACCCTGTCCAAATAAAATAAAATAAAATAAAATAAAATAAAATAAAATAAAATAAAATAAAATAAAATAAAGTAGTTAGGGATACTCCAGAAGATGCTCTCTCTAGAGAGGACAAAGAAGATCTGGAAGACATTCCAAAAATCTTTTGCATCAAAGATGGGTACCTTCCCCCTCACTGCATTCTTACCCAGTGGGTAAGGCTGGATCTTTCATCCACTGGCCTTAAGAAAGAAATGTTTGATATATTTCTATACACAGATCAGGTTTGAATATAAACTAAAGGATAAAATGTGTCTTCTATAGAAAAATAACAGAAAATTTCCTAAAATTCGATTTCTATATAAGAAGGAGGGCACTTACCATGATTTCCAGGTTCTCTGTCTCCATTTGCAGATACATGTATATTGATTGTGGTATTGGTCATGCCAAGTCTAGGCAGGGAGGGTCCTAGTTTGACCCTCCATTTGTAAAAGCAGATAACTCTGTTGCCTTGATCCTCCTTGATCATGGATTCTAACTGCCTCTCACGAATAATAAAGGTATCAGAGGGTGTACTGGCTGGCTTCGTGTGTCAACACGACACAAGCTGGAGTTATCATAGAGAAAGGAGCCTTCCTTGAGGAAATGCCTCCATGAGATCCAGCTGTAAGGCATTTTCTCAATTAGTGATCAAGGGTGAGAGGGCCCATTGTGGGTGGTGCCATCCCTGGGCTGGTGATCCTGGGTTCTAAAAGAAAGCAAGCTGAGCAAGCCAGGGGAAGCAAGCCAGTAAGCAGCACCCCTCCATAGCCTCTGCCTCAGCTCTTGCTTCCAAGTTCCTGCCCTATGTGAGTTCCTGTCCTGACTTCCTTTGGTAATGAACAGTAATGTGGAAGTATAAGCTAAATAAAGCCTTTCTTCCCCAATGTGCTTCTTGGTCATGATATTTTGTGCAGAAATACAAACCCTGACTAAGACAGAGGGCGACCCTTTGAGCAAGTGTTCTTCTGTTGGTGTAGGATCCAATATCTATATCTTGACCTGTATTATCTATATCTAACTATAGCTATATATTTCTTTTTCTGTCTCTTGTTAATTCCTATTCCAAATGCACGACCCAGCAGATGATAAGATTCATCTGGACAAATTCATTCAGGTCATAAGGAAGACAGATGTTTTCAGTCCAGCCTGTTGTCACTGGACTCAACTGCAAGTCTCTTGTCCGATGTAAACCAATAGGTTCAGTTTCATAAAGAAACAATGCTTTTGTACACACTATATCTCACAGTATAAAGATGTCTGTAGTAAAAACAGCTACTGGGATGTTCGTTCACAGAGAGTATAGAGGGGACCCTCTGTGTAAAGATCTCTCAGTAGTAAGTCTAACAGCATAGTTTTAACACGGATTCACTGGTGAGCTTTATTGGATGTTTTAAACATCAGTTGGATAATGTTTTACTATGTATGTATTTACTGCTTCTTTGTGTCTGTGACACATAATTACTCAAAAAGCACAGTTGGGATAGTGGCTCCAGAAACTCTACGAAGACTGTCTTATGTTTTCTAGAAAGCTTACCTGGAAATGTCCGAAGCCTCATAGTGTAATGGTATATACCCAGGCAGTATCATATTAATTTGTTAGATTATCCTATGTACACAGCTTTCTTTCATTATGGTGGTATTGCACAACCTTATCCTAAGACAGACAACTGCCAACTGCTTTATAAGATCAGATGTGTCTGCTTACAAATGATGACTACATCTGGGCTTGCTGACTACTGATGCTCCTTCATAGAAGGAAAGGATGTGTAAGGAGAGTCACTGGATCCTCACCTGAGTACCCAGCCTCTTTCTCAGCCAGTTATATGCACTTCTGCCCTAATTACTTGTGGCCTCATGGTATTGGGAAGGAGCTAGAGTATACAGGCTGGGAAAGACTGGGAGCTGGGGTCTTATGCAGCTATGGAAAAACTGTTAAAACAGACTGGGTAAAGATGTTCCAACATGGCTGCTTTTGGGTGCCCACACCCCTGTGAATAACCCCCACTCATGCAGAATAAGTCCAATAAACTCTTGGTTCTCCCGGGTGAAGTTTGATGAAATTGAACTTTGGCTTGTCATTGGGAGCTTATGATGAAAAGAAAGACATTGCCCCTCTCCTTTCAGGAAGAAAAATTCTCACATTAGATAGTAAATTCATTTGTTAGTGTCATTATGTCTCAAGGTATCGAGAAAGAAAATCAGTAAATGAAATAACATGCTAGAAGCACATATACATGGAAATTGTTTTAGTAATGAGGGATTTATTACATGTGATGATTAAGATGGTTAGATGTTTCCATAATGAAAAAGAAGACTGGAAATCATTTGCCAGTTACGGAGATTTGAGTAAGTCACTTAAGGTACACGAAGGATGAGAATTTGAGATGATGTATATGGTATTAAAGTTTCTAATGTCAATGATCAACAATTATAAGGACTGGCTAAAATGTATGTCTAATCAAAGTTTATTGTTTTTATTATTATTTTAATGCATTGATACCAACATATCTAGGCATTAAAATATTATACAGTAGTATAAAGTATCAGACATTTGTAACTGACCTTCTGGGTGTTTAATAACCACAGTTGGAGGCTATTCTAATACCATCTTTGATCTGGGTTACCTCTTTCGGGATGAGAAAGTAGCAATGAAGGCCTCCTAAGGGGAATCCCTGGTCAAGAGAACAGAATCTCTGGCCTGGGCACAGTCCTAACATTCCAATGGGGCCCTGCCAATCTCCTGGCCGAGGAGCTAGCCCTTGTAAGCAGGCTCACCTTAAAACAAGTTAATGAAATACATGGAACCATTAATTTTTGTTCCAGGGGACTAGTCTCACTATTGCAAATTCTTACTCCAAGATAGGACAGAAAAAGAGCCAGCATCGTGTTTGTTTGTTTGTTTGTTTGTTTGTTTTGAGACAGAGTTTTTCTGTGTAGACCTGGCTGTCCTGAAGTTACTATGTAGACCAGGATGGCCTTGAGGCAGAGATCCACCTGCCTCTGCCTCCCAAGTGCTGGGATTAAAGGCGTGCACCACCATTGCTCTGCAAGAGCCAACACTTGGTTGAGTTTTAAAAAGTGTATTTAGGAGAAGGAACCAACGTCTTTTTATCTCACTTTGTAAGGTTCTTATGCAAATGTTCTCACCCTTCCCACCACTCATTTAAATGCTTGTTTACACAAAGCCCAGTGCTGTATTCCAGGAATTGCATGACCAAAGAAGGGTGACTCCTTTCCCCTTCTTCCTTCATTTCCCGAGGGCTAATTCTTAAAAGATTGGCTGTGGAATAAGACTGTAAGGTCTTGTTTCCCCCCAACCAACAGGGGGGGAAAAGACACAGTCCCATCAGAGGCCGAATGAAAAACAAATGCATTTCCTGTCTCTACTTGTTCCTAAGTACACCCACCTTAATCAAGAGTAAAATTTACCCTGCCTAGGTCTTTCAGTTGGAGTGGTAGTCTCTTTCTTTGCCTTCTGGAACCTAACTTCTAACAGAACTGAGGTGGCTACTTGTCTTAGTTTGCTGAGACAACCCCCTTTGCCCTGAGATTTTTGTTTGTTTGCTTGGTTTTGGTTTTTTGGAGACAGGGTTTCTCTGTGCTGCCCTGGCTTTCCTGGAACTCACTCGGTAGACCAGGCTGGCCTTGAAGTCACAAAGATCTGCCTCAGTTAATCTGCCACTACACCCAGCTGCCCTGCTTATTTATTTATTTATTTATTTATTTATTTATTTATTTATTTATTGGTTTTTCGAGACAGGGTTTCTCTGTATAGCCCTGGCTGTCCTGGAACTCACTCTGTAGACCAGGCTGGCCTCGAACTCAGAAATCCACCTGCCTCTGCCTCCCAAGTGCTGGGATTAAAGGCGTGTGCCACCACCGCCCGGCTGCCCTACTTTTTATAAGAGCACTCCTTTTCAAGCTTATGTTTTAATCTTCATGTTCACACCTTAAATTCTTGGTCAGGTTGAAGTGTGTTTAAAAACTGACATGATATTTAGAAGTCCTCGGGGCATCACAGAGGTGCTCCGCATCAGTAAACAGACACCCAGTCCCTTTTAATTTAATTTAATTTAATTCAATTTAATTTAATTCAGTTCATGTATTTATTTAGAGATGGCGCAGCCTTAGCTGGCTTTGAACTCAGATCCACATGCCTCTGTCCCTAAATGCTGGGATTAAGGGCGTGGGCCACCACGCCCAGCTCAGACACAGTCTTTCTTAAAGCAGCAGAAGGCCCCAAGACCCGAGGCGCCAGGGCTGAGAACCAAGCGTCCCTCCCTGTCTGTGTCAAGACAGAAGAGGACCAGTGTGCAGTCTAGCCCAACTGCACAGGGGTGGGGGAAGCGTCACTGCGCCAGCTGTAGCCACCGCAGCCCGAGTGCACGAGCACAGGCGGCGGGCTCCCCGGGGCGGGAGGGCAGCAGAGGACAGCCGCGCGGAGCCCGCGCACGCGCACACGCACCGGCTCGCCGGGGGCCGGAAGAGCCGAGCGGCCCGGCGGCAGCTGCGGGCGCCAGAAGGCGCGCGGCTGCGGGGAGAGCGCGGGCTGCGGGATGGGGCCCCCGGAGAGCGCGGCGGAGCTCGCAGCCGAGGCGGTGGAGCTGCGCGAGCCGGAGCTGCAGCTCGCGGACCCGGCGTCCCCCGGCGAGGAGCACGTGGACGTCGAAGCGGAGGGCGACCCCGGCAGCCGCAGGTGCTGGCCGTGTGGAGCCTGGGTGTGCGGCTCGCGTGGGGAGCCCGGTGAGTGCGAGCAGGCTGGCGGGCGGGCGGGGCCGGTCCCGTCCTCCGCACACCGGCCTGAGCCGAGACCCAGAAAGTTTCCGTGTGTTCGCAACCCAAAATTGGTGACGGGGGTCAGGACCTCGCGGTCCAGTGGCAACCGGAGGTGAAAGGTCACCGAGAGGGCCAGGCAGCGGGTGGCAGGAAGGCAACTTGGAACCCACATCGTGAGTGTAAACCGCTCTTCCTGAACCAAGTTGGAAAGACTAGAGTTCTGAAAATGTTTGTCACGGAATCTCAGCATCTCAGAGAGGAGAGTTAAGCGGACTACTACTGGCCCTCAAGCTTTTGGGGATAGGAGGAGTTTTTAGGTACTGTCATGAGACGAGGTACACTTGGTTAGAAGCCTCGGTGAAGAACCCTTAACTTTCGTTCAAATTCCCCTAACAAAGAGGTAAAGAGAGGTCGTGGAAGATGAGGGTTCGAGGTTGGGTCTCACCCTCACCTTCATCTGCCAAGGTCTGGGTAGGGCAGGTCCAGACAGTACTAGGTAAGGCTCTCTGCTTTTGCCAGAGACTCCGCCTAGGGCTCTTTCCACTGATTGGCTTTCCCTCAATAAGCCCATGCAGATCTTTTAGAGTTAACTTTTTTCAATCTAATCTCCTGGGTCTCTTCCCCAAAATATGCCCTGGGGCTTCTGTGCCTCTTGTCCCACCCAGGTTTCTAACTTCTTAGTTGTGTTTTTACTGAGTCTAGAGAGAAGTCCTAGGGAGATGAGTATTACTACATTTCTGTCCTGAAAGCAAAGAGAAAATATCGGGTTTCTGATTTTGTTTGCATGGATTTGCCTGGGTTGCCTCCAGAACAGGGTTACCCTATGCTGGGCTGACCAGCCTGGCAGTTCCTGAACAGTTCAGTTTCTCTCCAATCACCCTATGGCTGAATGTCATTCTGGCCTAATGTGGAACTGGTCCTTGCAAACTCTTTAGTTTTCCATTTGGGCATGAGTGTAGGGGTCTGTATACTTACTCAGCCAGCACATGGCAAAACGTCAAGACATCGTGAATGCCCAAGAATCTTGCCTTTCAATTTCAAGACAAGTTTCTAACCGTTAAAATCACAGACCACTATAAGCCAAAAGTTGGCATTGGACATTCGACTGGCTCATTTTAGACTCTGTAGTCTATGCTGGCTCACATGCTGTTCTCCTGCCTAAGCCTCCTCCAGTGCTGGGATTAAGGGCATCCAACATCATGCCTGGCTTTGAGACTCTTGATCTTAGTGGTTTCTTCCGGACAGTGTGGAGCTTGTCCTTAAGGGAGAGAGTTGTCTTAGCCCTTTGCTTCCCATTTTCCTGTTGGAGTGAACACTCTAGTGCATTAGTGTACCACTGGACTTCCAACCAGCTCCTACAAAGTTCCAAACGTTTTGGAGTGGGGCCTGGAAACGGAAGGTTTAAAAGTTAACCCCAGTGAGGTAATTCTCAGCCAGGCCCAAGTTACTGGAGTGTGGAGAAGCCAAGTAAAAAAGGTTTTTACTCTCTTGTGGAAGTTCTGGTGATCACTTAATTTGAGTCATTAAAACTCTCAACTTGTTTAGAGTGATTAGATATACTTTCAGTCGATGTTAGCGTGGAAGTGGTATACGTGAGAATGCCTTTTTAGAGTGCTTTGCTGGTCACCGTTTTCAGAGGGAATTGAAATTATCATGTAAAAATAAAAAGAAAAAAATTATCATGCCATAAGAAACTGAGGTCTGAACAGAACTATTCCTTGCCTTCACTAACAATCCAGTTCAGGCCAACCTTCTGTTACCTGCCCATCCTTCGTCAGAAAACAAGAACCTTAAATATTTGCAGGTTTTTGATTTGGGCATGGTGGCACAGGTCTTTGGAGAGGAGGGTTGGAGGCCAGCCTGATCTAGGACACCCAGAGCTACATAGGGCGATCCTGCCTCTAAATATGTAAATAAATCAATGCACATACATACATATACCATACATACATAGAAAATACTTTAAAGCAAAAGACCCATATTTTGAAGTTAAATATTGTACTGTAATAATTCTTAAAGAAAAGGCAGTGGGTTTACATTGGAGGAGATCCTTGAATTAATAAACCAGGAAGATGTTTTCTGTCCTAGGACTCCTCATTCTGTTCTGTCTGAGGGCGGAGGTTTCTTTTGAGAAAACTTGTTTTATTTGGATCTAAAATTTGTAATTTCAGAAGCCCAACTCTAAGGCTGACCACAGCCAAGGCGTGTGTTTTGTGGTGCTTCACTTGGCAGTCTCAGGTCTCCTCCTGGTGCCCCAGTGGCTCTTTATAGTTCGTTCCCACGGTGTTGGAGCACAGGGGTACAGGGTGGCCTGGGGGAGTGGGCTCTGACACTTCTCATAGAATGACAGTCCCAGGGTGGTCTCTCCAGGTGTAGACCCAGAACAGGTAGTTGTCTAATTCAGATAGTATGACTGATGCAAAGATCAGGCACTATGGTGTTGCTAGAAAGGCTGTTATACTTTGGTCACGATTTGCAGTCACTCGTGGCCAAAGGTATCTGCTGTGAGGATGTTGAAATATATTACCTGGTGTATCATTTATCAGCGAAGGGCATTTAAAAACGAGAACATAATTATGCAATACTGTCCCATAGCTGAGTAACACTGTACGTTCTGAGAGTGGAGTGGTTGTTTAAGCTGTTGAAAGCAAATTGCAGCATCCACAGGCTTTGTGTTTCCAACAAAGTCTTCATTGACAAGAGTCAGTTGTTTTCCTTATTGCTGTGTTTTCCCTTCCGTGTCCATAAGGAGAGAGGGCTGTGGGTATGTGCATTGAGTTTGTGGCTTAGTCTTAAGATGTCAGGAAGGGGTTAAATAGTTGAAGACTTGGAGAAAGCACACATTTCCTGGTTCAGATTAAGGTGGGAAGTAAGAAATTAAGACAGGGCAAAATTATCAAAGCATCTCATGAGTACACAGCCTTTCAAGATCACGTTCCTGCCAGTAATGTTAGACCCCGTGCCTTCCTATGGAGGGCTCAGATTCTTTCCCTCACTAGGTAGTTATTCAGGTTGTGTGTGTTCCAGGGATAAACAAGCTGAGGTCCTAGCCCTAGAAAAGCTCATAGGCTTATAGGAGGAGTCATATAATTAGCAAGTGACCAGATAACACAATTGATTGCAATTGATTTTCTGCAAAGAGACTTTCTCCCTGAAGCTCACCAGTGAGAGTATGAAAGGTTCTATGGGTGAGATGTAAGATTTCTCTCACCATCTTAGCAAGATATTTTGTTTTTTTTGCCTTGTAAAGTGAGGAGTGATTTTTTAGTGAGCCAAAAGGTTCCATTTTTTAATTGGGAGAAACAACAGATCTTAAATGCTATTTTAAATCGTTACCCATATCTATGGCTTCTTCATAATGGATAGGGAAAGTGATAGATACAAGACCACAGGTATGTTTCAAAGGAAGGTCTTACCTGTAGTCTAGCCATTGATACCGTTCCTCTTTCTTAATTTCTAAGTGAAAGTGGTAAAATACGTGCTTGGAACAAGGACTAACCAGAATTTAATCTTTTTCAGAAGCCAAGAAGAAAGCACCCTGCCCCGGACTTGGCTTGTTTTACACAGTGTTGTCTGCCTTCCTTTTCTCAGTGACCTCTTTATTTGTTAAAAAAGTGCAAGGCGTCCATGCTGTAGAGATCAGTGCGTTTCGATGCGTGGTCCAAATGCTAGTTATTATTCCTTGCTTAATATACAGAAAGTAAGTACTTTTTAGAGTGAATAGAGGAGATTAATAAGTGTGTGTGAATCTTTTGAACTGCCTTCATATTTTCTCCAGAGGTTGACCAGTCTGTTCCCCTTCACTCTGATTAATGATGTGTTCTCAGGGTCTGCTCACAGAAGGGTCTACCGTAAGCACACACCACATGCCCATCAAAGGAAAGAAGGGTAACATGTAGCTGTCCACCACCCTCCTTCCTTCACTCTGGCATAACTGGTATTTTAAGATTTATTTATTTACTTTATGTATATGAGTACACCGTAGCTGTCTTCAGACACACCAGAAGAGGGCATTGGGTCCCTTTACAGATGGTTGTGAGCCACCATGTGGTTGCTGGGAATTGAACTCAGGACCTCTGAAAGAGCAGTCAGTGCTCTTAACCGCTGAGCCATCTCTCCAGCCCATAGTTGGTATTTTAGAGATAAAAAATAAACAAAGCAAGTTAAGTGCGTCCTGCTGTCAAAGGTGCTGTAAGTGGGACTGATGCTTCCCTGCCAGATCAGACCAGTAAAACTGAAGTCCTCCACAGAGCGCAGCAGGCAGGACCTTGAACAAGGTCTCTCACTACCTTGGTATCCAGGTTCTTCCCCTGTAAACTGGAGGGAGTGGCACTTTCTGAACTCTGCCCCACAGCAGGTTGCCAGGGTCAGATAAGAGTTACTCTTGGTTAGAGTACTTTCTTTTTTTTATTTTTTTATTTTTTATTTTTTTATTTTTTTGTTTTTTGTTTGTTTGTTTTTCGAGACAGGGTTTCTCTGTGTAGCCCTGGCTGTCCTGGAACTCACTCTGTAGACCAGGCTGACCTCAAATTCAGAAATCCGCCTGCCTCTGCCTCTATCTCCCAAGTGCTGGGATTAAAGGCATGTGCCACCACTGCCCGGCTAGAGTACTTTCTATAAACTTCAATATAGGTACCATTTTTACTGTCCCCGCTCTACCCTCCCTCCATACTTGATCCCGTTTCTGTGTGGAATCTATCATCTCTTAGTAGGGCTGAAATTAACCCCCATCCCCACACACACCTTTGTAACTTACACATATTTTTATGTTCTTTGAACCCTGGGAGGAAACTAGTTGGGCCCTGACTGACTGGCTATCTGGCTCTTTGTTTTGGAGTTGAAGATGCTTAAATCTCAAATCAGAAGTTGCCAATGCCTGCCTCCAGAGCCTCTTTTTATCTCCTGCTGTGATGCAGATTCATTTGGAATAGTGTCATTCTGTATCCTGAGAAATTGGTTAGAAAGTGACAGTCTGCAAGGATTGATATTGCCAGAAATCCCCATGCAAATGTAATGTGCAAGCCAGTGTGCTTTGGGAGATGGTGAGATAGCACCAGCTTCTAAAGGAGGTAACAACACTGAAGTTAGCAACCACATCCCCCGTTTTTCAATAAGAATGTTCAGAAAGCTACAAAGTATTTTGAAAATCTTTGGCTCTGATCTGTTTTGATGTTGTGTTCACTGTCGTCGGAGATCCATAGTTTTTCCATATACCTATGGGCCACAGATTTGTTCTGACTCCAGATACCCATGAGTGTCCATGTCTACCCAGATGAAGTGTGTCCTAGCATGAGTCAGTGAGTTGTATGTAGCTAGGTTCTGTCAAAGTAGGTTCTAAATAAATGAGTGATTGAAAAAAAAATCATTTTTTTTTTTTTTTTTGCCTCATATTCAGTGACCAAATTCTAGCACTGGTTCAACTTTTCTAGAACAATTGATGCAATTGAATGTACATTAGCCAGGATTAAGTTTCCTTGTGTAGAGACATAAAATCTTGAGATTATGTTTATTATAAAATGATGTGTTTTCATCATAGAAAATTTGAGGAAAATTATGTGATTCCATGTACTAGGATATAATGTCTCTTAAGATTTAGTCTTTTTTGTCTTTCCATTATTTTTTGCAAGACTATACATATGGAAAATGCGTATCTGTCTTTACCGACTGTTTACCATGCTGTTTATGAGGTTCTGTGTTCTTTTTGCTCCTGCTATGGACACTTTGAAACATCAGTACCAATACCTAGAAGAGATATTTTTGAAGGATTCATACTATTCAATGCCAGAGGGATTACTATTCCCTTATTTTTAATATAGTGTACTTTTAGAATAATGTCTGATTAAACATTTTGATTTAAAAACAATGCCAAATTCATTTCACATGCATTTTTTTTTTTCATTTAAATTTGCAGAACTGGGTTCATAGGTCCCAAAGGTCAACGACTTTTCCTCTTCCTCAGAGGGGTCTTTGGTTCCAGTGCCATGATCCTTATGTACTATGCTTTCCAGACAACATCCCTCGCAGATGCCACAGTTATTGCGTTTAGCTGTCCAGTGTTTACGTCCATATTTGCTTGGATATTTCTCAAGGAAAAGTATAGCCTTTGGGATGCTTTCTTCACCCTGTTTGCGATCGCCGGAGTGATACTTATCGTGAGACCGCCATTTTTATTTGGTTCGGACACTTCAGGGATGAGAGAAAGCTATTCAGACCACATTAAGGGAACGATCGCAGCGGTCGCACACGCTGTGCTAGCTGCGATGACACTGGTTATTCTGAGGAAGATGGGGAAATCTGTGGACTACTTTCTGAGCATTTGGTATTATGTCATACTTGGACTTCCCGAAACCATCATCATCCTCTTCATCATAGGAGAGTGGAGTCTGCCGTACTGTGGGCTGGACAGGCTGTTTCTCATACTCATTGGACTCATAGGTTTGGGGGGTCAGATATTCATCACTAAAGCAGTTCAAATAGAAAAAGCAGGACTCGTAGCGATAATGAAGACGATGGATATCGTCTTTGCTTTCATCTTTCAGATTGCTTTCTTTGATAATGTACCAACGTGGTGGACGGTGGGCGGGGCTCTCTGTGTGGTCGTCAGCACTACTGGAGCGACCATTCGTAGATGGCTACAGGGTTCCAAATGAAATGTCACTGCTGAAGTCTATTTTTTTCAAGTACGCCATCACCCAGCTCAGACATCTTACACACCTACACACATACCCGGAGAATCTGCATTATTCATTGGTTATATTTAATAAATTTCATAAAGTACCATTTTTTAATACAATGTTTTTAATTAAGAGTAGCTAGCTAGGCTAGCCTAGCAGTTTCTGGATAGCTTTTATTTTTTGCTTTGGCTTGTTGGTTAGGTTGCCGTTGATGAGGAGGGAGCTCATTTGAGGAATTTCAGAGATTTTTATGAGTACAGTTTTTAAGATTTATTTTTGACACAGGATGTGGACGGGAGATACTCTATTTTAGCAGTGTAGATAAGATGCTTAACGTTGACCATGCTGCTATAATTAGTACTGTGCTAATCCTTCGGTTGCAGTATAATCTCTCTTAGGATGCCAAAGCTGCAACTTGGTACAGGTGCCTACTTACTGATAGGGGTATACGTGAACCAGCCTTATTTTCCAGGATCTTAGAGATGATTATTACACTTTTAACTCATTTGTGCCTTTTGGTTTTGATGCTGGAACTTTTATATGTACTCTGAACAGAGCCTCCAGCTTGCCACACATGGTTAGCAGTTCTCTCTTTCAGTATATTAGCGACTCTGGCTATTGTTTTGAATTTCAATTGTCTCCTGTTTTACTGAAATTACACTTTTTTTTTTTAAACATTCCAAGATTTCCAATCTTAAAATGAGAACAAAATCTTGGCATGACCAGTGTGTTCGTTCCCATCCTGAGGTGATCTCACTTCAGATGCGGTGATTTTTCTACAAATTCTCTTTGAATTCACAGTGTGATGCCAAATGCAATTTTCTCAGGATTGTACTAGGCTGGGCCATTATCAGAGCGCCCAGATTCTACCATTTTCATTTACAAAACCTGTATTTCTAGAAGGTTCATCCTGCAAGCACCCTTTACATTAAACCAAATATCTGTAACTTTACAGTACATGTCTGTTATTAAACTTTATAGTCTTTTTCCATTTTTGGAATGGTATATTATAATGCTTGTGGCATATGAAAAATGTAAAGACCTGTTAATCCACAGTTGATTGGCTTTTACAGTTTTTTGCATATACAAAAAGCATAGGTACATGCTAGTCTTTGACTCACAATACTAGTGTGAACTTAGAACATTCTAACTGTGGAGCAGCGGCACGCAGGCCAGTACTCCTCTGTGAAAAGATTGGGAATATGTGACCATGAGTCTATGGCGCTTTGGATGCCTTTGTGGTGAGGCCATAGTGGCTGCCACCTCTTACTTTGTCAGACACTGTCCATTGTTATCATTAGCTGCAGAGTTGAGGGGCTGTTGTTCACTCTCAGGCTCCTCACAGCTCTTCTGAAGGAAGGGACTGACTGGTCTCCTGGGTCTTGATTCAGCTATAAAAGGATCTTCTCCTGTAGTTCCTAAGAGGACCTTTGAGTTTGGTGGTCCATCATGTTTACCACCTGACATGCTAAATATTTATTTAGCTGAGTCACCTCAGTTGCATTTGACCCCTCATAGATTTGTCAATGGTGCCATTCTACCAGCATCCTAGAAAATAGAGTCAGCAGACCTTTAGAATTTAGAGGGGGTCTTAGAGATCATCCTGGGGGATGACAGGAGGGAGGCCTGCAATAGCTGGTTTCCATAGCAGCCTCCTCTCATTCAGTTCCACTGGAGCTATACCACCAAACTTACACAATAGAAGAGTTTCTGGGACAGTGGAAGATAAATCCCTTTGGAAATACATTATATTTCAACTGTGTCTTAAGTACTTGAATGTCAGGATATGTGGCTGACATTGGAGACAATGATTCTTACAACCTTTACAGGGTATGATTTTTAAACAATGTTCAAGTGTTATACAAGGCTATGTGTTGTAACAATTATGGGGGGAGGCTATGTATTTTCCAAAGATTGTAGTTTCTATATCTTGCAAAGGAAATATTTTTTCCTAACATGTTTTTATTTTGTAAGTAATAAAATCATAAAAGATGTTGGTTTTTATGACTATAGAAAATGTCTCACGACTCATTTCTCTTCTCTACTGGGTGCTTCAAAACTCATTTTCTATAGGAGACCTGAATATAGGGCCTCTAGCCGTTTTGGTAGGCTGAGGTCTTAAATGTTCAAACTTTATCCGTTCCTCAGACACAGCAAATATAACACCTCCAAAATAAAGATAGTAATCTGTTAAGAGACTTTCCTAGACCCTCAGAGCTCGGAGCAGCTTGGAGCTATGCTGTCTTTATAGATTCTTCAGCTAGGTTCTGGAGTGTCCTAGGAACTCATTCGACCCTCACAGTGTCCACTGCCGCCCACAGAGTCATTACACCTGAGTTTTTACAGCTGTATTCTAAGCTACCTACTTAAGACTTTGACCTTGACCCAGCTGTCAAGGTCAGGAGAGTCTTCTCGAAGCCCTGCAACTGTCACTTCAGTTCTTAGGAAGCCACTGTGGGGGCTAGTAGTTCACACCGTCATGCCCAGGAGGTGGCCCCCACTTCCTCTTCACCCTGGTTTCCCACATTCCAGCACAAATGTGATCCTGGGATCAGCCTTTCCATCAACTCATATTTGCCTGAAAAGTCCTTCCTCTTTTCTCTGCTTTCTTCTCATGTGTCCTTAGCGGCCTGGGCTTCTGGTGCCTGAGCTGTGAGCTGTGCTTTCTGATTCTTCCACTTCCTCCGGGTTCTCAACTTCATTAATCCCTTTGGAGGAGGGGATTAGTGCAGGGTTAGGCAGTGGGAGATAGGTGTAGCTTTTGCCACTTTACATTGAGGCAAACTATGTACCTAGGCCATTTTCATTTGTTATAAATAGAATATTACTCTTCTCACTAGTGAGTGGCATAGACTTTAGGCCAAAACCAAAGCACAAAAGCTTAAACGTTGAGCTGTGGTTAAGATTATTCACCTTCCCCTTAAAATTGATCTCCCCCACCCACACACACACACTCTGGGCCCTTCCTCCTGAGAAGCCTTACCAAGAACTGCAGGTACAGTTGTCTCCAAATGCAAACCTCACTCAGCCTCTCCTGTAAGTGCAGACTGGGATGGATGGGCACTCTTCTGTTCAGGCTGAGCTGTCCACAGAGGGCTGCCGAAGGCCACCGCTTCTCTTACCAATGCACAGGTATGACCATTTTTTTCCAGTTGGCTTTAGTGCTTTTCCCCTGAGGGAAGATGTTTGATTTGGGGAATAGTCCTATCCCTCCATGCACTTCCTTTGAACTAAACATGACTCTTCTAGCTTCTTTGCTTATCCACTAAGCACGATATCTCATATAAGTGGTAAGAGAGCTAATTTTTCCCGATACCACCCTGTCCTTTCCCCCAGGTATGTACAAGTGGTTGTGGTTGGCATGAGAATTGGTTTATTATGGTATTAGTTGGGCATGTGGTGCCTGGACACTACCCCCAAGCTTGACTTTTTTCTTGGTCCTTTTGATATTCTACTTCAAATCTAGATGATGATGCTGCTTCTTCTTCTTCTTCTTCCTTTTTGTTTTTTTGTTTTGTTTTGTTTTTCGAGACAGGGTTTCTCTGTATAGCCCTGGCTGTCCTGGAACTCACTCTGCCTCTGAGTGTAGACCAGGCTGTCCTCGAACTCAGAAATCCACCTGCCTCTGCCTCCCAAGTGCTGGGATTAAAGGCATGCGCCACCACTGCCCGGCTTCTACTTCAAATCTAATATGGCCACCATACTCACCTAGAATTCTGCAGGGTGCCTTACTAGCGACTCCCTATGATACCCAAAGAAATACTCGCTGTGATGTCATGGCTAGACAGGAAACGTGGCAGCCTTGCCCACAAGAGTAGATGCACTGAGTTCAGGAGATACCGTTGCTGGAGAAAAGAGCCTGGCTCTTTCTAACATTTCACGACTTGTAAATTGTTCATAGCCCTAAGAAATGTAGCCATAAAGCGTAGGAACTAATCCATATTTCTGACGAGTTGCTAGGCCGAGGTTGAAAACATACAGCTCCACATTTGAGAAAAGGTAAACACAGGCTGGAGAAAATGTGTTGATGTGATCAGGACAGAATCAAAGGACTAAGCCAGGGTCGGCACTGCAACCAGAGACTGGAAAGTCAGGGCTAGAGAACACGTGAGCCAGGGCCCTTTTCCTGATGACGTAAGCACCCAGCCATTCTAAGCACGGCTGACCACATTCAAAGCCCATACTGTATATGCCAAAACACACCAGAGAGAGATGGAAACTGAAGATTTAAGTCATTTGGGGCTCTTTACGATCACACTGGGTGTTACCATGCTAATAGTAAAGTCATGTTCAAAGCATAAAGTGCAATTCAGGAAACACTAACCATTTTTCTCATGTGACACTCCCCCTGGGAACTGAGTTACACTGCTGAGAGAAAGCTGGGGCCACATAAAGAGACCCATGTGAAGAGGGTTCTCCACCCCTCAGGCCCTTCTGCACTCCAGCTGACAGCTCACACTGGCTGGCCAGACGAATGGATTCTCTAGCCCTCAGGTAGGTTACCCCGACTAATACTGTGTAGAGAAGACACAAACCTAATGCACTTCTGGGTGATTGTAGACTTGTAAGAATAAAAAATTATTGTCGTTTTAAATTACTCAAAAGTTAAGGATATAGAAAACATGCTCGAATCTGTATGTACCCAGTTAGTTGATAACAATTACAAGAAAACACTTCGTTGTAAAAAACAAAATAATGAAAAAGGACAAGTAAATAAATGCAGTTGTCAAGAGCTAAATCTAAAGGGATAAGAATAATAAAGTTATCTAAATCAAGTCGTCTTCAACGCTAATAAACTGTGCTAATAATGACACTGAGAGTGTTGGTCGGTTTCACACACTTTCATGGGTATGCAGTACAGTTTTTCCAGAGGTTACAAGATGCAGAAAAGGCAGCTAGCTTGTAACTGCAGGTCTTTCTTTCTTTCTTCCTTTCTTTCTTTCTTTCTTTCTTTCTT